GGCAATCCTTGCCTACAACTGAAACCACAGACAACTAGCCTGGAAACCACGGGTCTCTTAACCCGGAAAAACCACGGATCCGGAATTCACTCAGTGCTGCTCACAAAACTAATCCTAGTGCGGGGCCCTGTCTTCTTCCCGAACCTCCCGCTCTATCGTCCATGACAGCCTCCTGCCTGGCCTTAAAACTATGTCCGTATTCCCTACTGGACGCTTGCACAGTGCAGTGCCAGATTGGGGTCCGAGAAGACAAAGGTTTGAAAGGAAGCAAATGACACACACACACACACACACACAGAGAGAGAGAGAGAGAGAGAGAGAGATTTCCTATGACCCTTCCGGCCACGCTCCGAGAGAAGGCGTCAAGGAGAGAAAAAAGAGATTTTCCACGATCCCTTTGGCCACACTCCGAAGAAGGGAATCAGGAGAGGGAGAGAGAAGGACTTCCAGGACGCTTCCAGCCACGCTCCGAGAGAAGATGTCAAGGAGAGAGAAAAAGAGATTTTCCACAATCCCTTTGCTCACGCTCTGAAAAAGGGAATCAGGAGAGAGAGAGAGAGAGAGAGAGAGAGAGAGAGAGAAGGACTTCCAGGACGCTTCCGGCCATGCTCCGAGAGAAGACGTCAAGGAGATGAAAAAAGAAAAGTTCAGCTGCTGTGGAGAAATTATTCTTCCACCCCCTCCCAATGTACTAACTTCAAACAATACTCACGTCCTTGAATGACCATCGTGGATCCCGGGATCCTTTTCTTTGGCTGGCTTGACCTTGCCATTGCTCTCCTGGTCGAGCTTTCTGGTGACGATTGATTACCGCCCACAAAGAGGAGGCAGGGAGAGGAAAAAGGATCCCTAAGGTTGCCCAGTGGCGCCCGATCCCCTCTATCTCACCCCTCACCTTCACAGGAGAACCAAGAGTCCCTGAGCATGGTCGCCAAACTGTTAACGGAAAAATCCGAGGGCTCCCTTGGACAAAAACAAAGACACCAACCAGGATAACTTGGAGCTAAACAGCAGCCTGTAGGCTTGGCCTTTATTGATCTGTTGCAACAGGGTGCTCCCCTCACCTGCGGGAGAGAGGAGGAACCCAGAAAAATGGTGTGCAAGGCCTTATAAAGACTTTTGGAATTGCCACCCTGTAGATCCAGACCACCCCCAGAAACATCATACATACATCACAGAAGGGGTGTAACCTAAGACCACCCCTCAGATACATCACACCTATCTCCCGCTTGGACTACTGCAATGTGCTCTACGTGGGGCTACCTTTGAAGGTGACTCGGAAACTACAACTAATCCAGAATGCGGCAGCTAGACTGGTGACTGGGGGTGGCCGCCGAGACCACATAACACCGGTCTTGAAAGACCTACATTGGCTACCAGTACGTTTCCGAGCACAATTCAAACTGCTGGTGTTGACCTTTAAAGCCCTAAACGGCCTCGGCCCAGTATACCTGAAGGAGCGTCTCCACCCCCATCGTTCTGCCCAGACACTGAGGTCCAGCGCCGAGGGCCTTCTGGCGGTTCCCTCATTGCGAGAAGCAAAGCTACAGGGAACCAGGCAGAGGGCCTTCTCGGTAGTGGTGCCCGCCCTGTGGAACGCCCTCCCATCAGATCTCAAAGCGATAAATAACTACCTGACATTCAGAAGACATCTTAAGGCAGCCCTGTTCAGGGAAGTTTTTAATCTGTGATATTTTAGTGTATTTTTGGTTTCTATGGAAGCCGCCCAGAGTGGCTGGGGAAACCCAGACAGATGGGCGGGGTACAAATAATAAATTATTATTATTATTATTATTATTATTATTATTATTATTATTATCACAGAAAGGAGGGGTTGAGGGAGGAGTTGTGGTGGTAACCTAAGTGTCCTGTCACCTGGCTGGTTCCCCCTTTCCCCCTCCCCATGAGTACTTTCCAGGTGACAGAGGGGAGTTTGCAGTTTCCTGCACCCAGAGGGAAGAGCTGATCATTGTCCTTTGTTCCAGTCCGTGTTGAATCCACTCCCATATGCAAGTTCTTTGTGATCTTGATGGTCTTCTATCTAGGACCATCAGGGTTGGCATAGCAACTGGGAAGGGCTCCTGTGTATGTGCTGGTATGCTCAAGGGATTATGGCTGCTCTGTATCAAACCTTCCCCATTTTGTAGTCCTTCCTTCATGGAGTAAAATAAAAGTGGAACAGTGCAAATCCGATGTATGGTTGATTTTCTATGGATTTATAACAGAAGCGTAGCGTATGCAGTGTGTCAGTGTGAGTGTGAAGTTTGTACAAACTGAATGATTGGGGGGGGGCGTTTCCTGTGACAGTCCTAAGAAGACGAGGCAGAGCAGCACTTTAACAGCTGGCAATGCTTGTCTTTCCTTTGGGTTGGAGCTCTTGTTTTTTGTTTTTTTAAATATTTTTATTGAGTTTCTTTTCTTAGGGTCATAGACACAAGATTGAAGTAAGAAAATACCAGAAACAAAAACAAAGAAAAATGATAAAAAGATTATTACAATCCAACTTTCGATAGTTTTTCCAATATTCCAAATGGACTTCCCCACATCCTCCAGACTCTGCGTTCTTTGCGATAAAAGTTTCAGCAATTTGTTACCTTGTTTCTTAACTTACTGTATCTTTCAGTTATTATGTTTCTAAATTCACAATATTATATCCCAACTTTGTACGTTTAAAATTAACATAATAAAATTGTTTCATATTACCACCTCTTTTTTCTTGTCTTAATTTTCAGTTTACCTAATCAAGTTGCTAAAGCAAAAATTTCCTAATCGTGCGTATTTCTTAACATTCGTACAACTTATAATGTTTTTGCAAATAGTCCTTAAATTTTTTCCAGTCCTCTTCCATTGTTTCCTCGCCCAAATCTCGGATTCTGCCAGTCATTTCAGCCAGTTCCATGTAGTCCATCAACTGTGTCTGCCACTCCTCCAGCGTGGGTAAATCTTGAGTCTTCCAGTGCTTTGCAATAAGAATTCTTGCTGCTGTGGTAGCATACATAAACAAAGTTCTGTCCTTTTTTAACACCTTCTGGTCCACCATGCCCAATAGGAAGGCCTCTGGTTTCTTGGGAAAGGTATACCTAAATACCTTTTTTAACTCGTTATAAATCATTTCCCAGTAGGCCTTCACTTTTGGGCAGGTCCACCAAAGATGAAAGAATGTCCCTTCTGCCTCCTTACATTTCCAACATTTATTATCAGACAGGTGGTATATCTTGGCTAACTTGACTGGGGTCATGTACCACCGGTATGTCATTTTCATAATGTTTTCTTTCAAGGCATTACATGCCGTAAACTTCATTCCGGTGTTCCATAACCTTTCCCAGTCTTCAAACATAATGTTGTGTCCAATATCCTGTGCCCATTTTATCATGGCAGATTTGACTGTCTCATCCTGTGTATTCCATTTAAGCAGCAAGTTATACATTTTAGAAAGTGTCTTAGTTTTTGGTTCTAACAATTCCGTCTCTAATTTCGATTTTTCCACCTGGAAACCAACTTTTTTGTCCATTTTAAAAACCTCTTGGATTTGAGCATAATGTAACCAATCCCGCACCTTATTTTTTAATTTGTCTTGGCTCTGCAACCTCCAATTGTCTCCAATTTTTTCAATTATTTCCCAATATTTTGGCCAGTAGGCCTCCATGCTGGGTCTTTTCCTGGCCTTGGCCTCCACCGGTGATAGCCACCTCGGGGTCTTACCCTCCAACAAGTCTTTATATTTCGACCAGACCGCAAAAATTGCTCTTCTGACAATATGGTTTTTAAATAGTTTATGAACTTTAACCTTGTCGTACCACAGATATGCATGCCAGCCAAAAGCATTATCAAACCCTTCCAAATCCAGGACATCAGTGTTCTCCAACAGAAACCAATCCTTCAGCCAGCAGAAGGCTGCAGATTCATAATACAACCTCAGGTCCGGCAGGGCAAACCCCCCTCTTTCTTTCGAATCAGTTAATATTTTAAACTTAATTCGGGGCTTTTTGCCCTGCCAGACAAACTTAGATATATCCTTCTGCCACTTTCCAAAACATTCCACTCTGTCCACGATCTGTAGGGCCTGAAACAAAAATAGCATTTTCGGCAATACATTCATCTTTATAGCTGCAATTCTGCCCAACAAGGAAAGTTTCAATCTTGACCAAATTTCCAAATCCTTCTTAATTTCCGACCAGCATTTTTCATAATTGTCTTTAAATAAATTCAAATTTTTTACAGTCAAATAAACCCCTAGGTATTTCACTTTTTTAACAACACTTAATTCTGTTTCTTTCTGGAACCCCTCTGTTTCTGTAGGTGTCAAGTTTTTGGCCAAAACCTTGGTCTTTTGCTTGTTGAACTTAAATCTCGCCACCCGACCAAATTCATGAATCAGTTCTAAAACTCTTTTTGTACTAGATACTGGCTCCTGTAGTGTTAAAACTAAATCATCTGCAAAAGCTTTCAATTTATATTGGTTCACTCCGACCTCTATTCCTTGTACCAACCGGTCCTCCCTGATCATGTTCAGCAGCACCTCCAGGACTGAGATAAATAAAAGAGGAGATAGAGGGCACCCCTGTCGTGTCCCTTTTTCAATTTTAAACTCCTCTGTCACCACATTATTCACTATCAATTTAGCTTTTTGCTCTGTGTAAATTGCTTGTATTCCATTTTCAAACCCCCGTCCCACTCCCATCCCTTCCAAATTTTTCTTCATAAACATCCAAGAAATATTATCAAAGGCTTTCTCTGCGTCAATAAAAATTAACACCGCTCTCTTATTAATGTATGTTTGTAAAAGTTCCAAAATATCGATAATGTTCCTGGTGTTATCAAACAAATGTCTACCTGGGAGAAAGCCAGCCTGGTCCTTGTGAATTACTTCATTCAAAACTTTTTTAAGTCTACTTACCAAAATGTCTGCAAAAATTTTGTAATCCACATTTAGGAGTGAGATGGGACGGTAGTTTTTAAGTTGAGTCTTTTCAGTTTCCGCTTTAGGAATCAATGTGATGAAGGCTTCTTTCCACGACTCTTTGGGTTGGAGCTCTTGAACCCATAGCACTTGGGGCCTCCTTTCTCTCTCTGCCAGCCATTCGTGCTCTGGGCTGCCTCTTTCCAGCTCTGGCGATGACCTTCCAGGTCGCAGAACTGCAGAGAGATGGCAGGAATTGGGCCAGACGCCCCTCCTCTCTCACACACACACACGAATTGGGACTGCCAGCTTCTGAGTCGCTCTCTCTGCTCGTCTCTTCTAGGTTCAGGCGCTTAAGGCGGCTGATCAGCTGCAAGAAGGTGGCACCCCTAGAAGTACTGGAGCAGCCCGCGGTGTCGGGTGAGCAAGTGGCCCTCCTTTTGGAGATGGAGGAGGGCAAGAATGGGCTGGGGGGCATCTAGTAGAAAGATGCACAGAGCCGGACGGCTGGATCCAACCCGCCTATCTGCGACAGCATCTGGAAACCCAACCGCCCCCCCCCCAGCAACCACCCCATTTTGTGGGGTCTGTTGGAGGAAGCAGGGGGCTGGGCTGTGGGGCAAGGCAGGGGGACAGTTGCCAGTGGGAGGGGCATCTTCCCTGGGGAGCCATGTTCTGGGGGCAGGAGGTTAGGATTGGCCCCCAAGGCCTGGGGTGTCCTTCTCCTGTAGTAGGACTTGGAATCCAGGAGAAAACTCTTGGAAAAGCCTTGCAAGGGGCTCAGGGAGGAACTCACCAATCCCCATGTCCTTCACTTTGCAGATGTGCTGGGAATCCACATCCCTTCCGTTGCGGTGAGTATTGGATAAAACGAGAGCAGGGAGAGGATCCCTCGGACCTGCCCCCCTCTTGCACTCCACTCTGCACTCTCAGATGTGGAGGAGCCCTTCCCCCACAAGGAACTGACAACCTGACTTTTGCCTTTCAGCTGCTTGACAAAGATCAGCTCCAGCTTCTGGGCATCATCCAGGACTGCCAGGCAGCTCGGCTCAGGGGGCTCCGAACCCTGAAGTACTCCAAGGAGGAGACTGCCAAAGCCATTCTGGTGAGTGATGGGTGGTGTGAGGGACCCCCATGGGGAGGGAGGGGCAAAGAGGGGGCTGGCGTTTGGGGTTGGAGCCATCTTCTGGAGACTCCCGGAAGGAGCTGACTTTCCTCCTCTGCTCTCTTCTAGAACATCCTCGGGCACTTGGAGTACTTCAGGGATCGCCCCCTGAGCCTGGCCCTGGCCTTCGAGGCCCTCCTGCAATTGAGGTGAGTGGGATCTTTGGGGAGGGCAGGGCTGCAGAGGGACAGAACTCCAGGGGGAGCTTTGGTTGGGCAAGTCTGGCAGGAGGGAGAAGGGTCAAGGGAGACTTGGAGGAGGCAATGTCTAACCCCTTCCCTTTCTCTCTCCAGTTTTATGAGACCCCACTTCAGTCTCTCTATGGTGAGCGAAATCCTCCATAGAACAGCGGAGGCAGTTCTGGGGAGTGCAGAGGAGGACAAAGAGGTATGTCCTCTGCTTTAACTTCTCTTTGCACAGCTCTTTCTTCTTTTTACACTCTTCCAAAATTTAACCCAGAAGCACTCAACCTCTCTTCTCTCTTTTCCCACAGGAACTGAAGAGGCCATTTCAAAGCCTGCTGGGGGGTCTCCTCCTAGAAGCCCCCAATACTAGAACCTTTCTCCAATTGCTTACCGTAGGTATCCTGATAGCATCAGGAGTGGTTTTAGGGTTGCCCCCCTGTCCCTTACCCAACTAACTGTCCCATTTCTTTCATCCTGCAGGACCTCCGATATTATGCCCTTTGGGGGAATGAAGACGAAAGGAAATTAGGGGCCAGCAGTATATCCCTGCTGCTGGCCCTTTCACAAAGATTCCCAAACCTAAGAGTAAGTATTTTGCCTTCCTGTATTCAGTTAGAATCATAGAATCATAGAGTTGGAAGAGACCACAAGGGCCATCGAGTCCAACCCCCTAAAGGTAAAGGGACCCCTGACCATTAGGTCCAGTCGTGAACGACTCTGGGGTCGCGGTGCTCATCTCGCTTTATTGGCCGAGGGAGCCAGCATACAGCTTCCGGGTCATGTGGCCAGCATGACTAAGCTGCTCCTGGCAAACCAGAGCAGCGCACGGAAACGCCGTTTACCTTCCCGCCGGAGTGGTACCTATTTATCTAGTTCATTGGTTGCTTCCATCCTTCCTGGGTGGGGCTGCTTCTCTTACACCCATCCAGGGTGGGGTTCATAATGTCAACTGACTCAGATTTGTCTTTCCTCTGCAGAACAAAGTGATTCGGCCGGAGCTGGCGTGCTTCAGAAATAATCTGAAAGAAGGTAATCCCCACACCTTGGGGACAGTGAACTCCCTGTCCCTTGTTTGCCCAAGACACACCTCCCAGGTCTTCTTGCTGGGAGTCCTGCAGGACCTGCTCCCTGCCTGGCAGGCCTTTCCCACCTGCCCTGGGAGGGCAGCACCCAGACTGACTCCAGCTACAAGAAGCGGAGAGAACTGAACAGATTTTCTCTCTTTTTCATTCTTTTCCATCCAGATGACATCATCATTGAAGAATTATGATTTTCCTCCTTGAAGGAATCAACTGGCTAAAGACTGGGAGAAGAAGAGGCGCTAAGAATCAGGAGGGGGACAGATGATTTAAGCAGCCATGAAATATGGACTGAGATTGGGCAGAACAAGGAAGAAAGGAAGGAAGGAAGGAAGGAAGGAAGGAAGGAAGGAAAGAAAAGAAAAGAATCCATGACAGATGGCCATCTAATCTCTGCAAGGAAGGAGAGTGCATCACCTTACAGGGGAGTCCATTCCTCTGTTGAACAATGTTCAGTCGGAATCTCCTTTGTTGTATCCTGAAGCCATTGGTTCGAGTCCTACCGTCCAGAGCAGGAGAAAAAAAGCTCGCTGCATCTTCCAAGTGAAAATGGCTCTCTCTGGTGTCACTGGATCAAGCTGATCAATTTTCTTGCATTACTTAAACAAAATAGTTTTTAATTGATTTTGAATAAACATGCAATAAATTGTTATTGTTCTGAATTTCATTGTGTTATTGTCTTCCATTGAAAAGGGGCAAGGAGAGGGGCTGGCTTTGGACTCAGAGCCTGACTGATAAGCTGAGGGGGGGCAATGGCGTAGCAAGGTTAGGTGGTACCCGATGTGGAAAATTTCTTGTCAGCCCCCCCCCCATTGAAATTATTAAAAGAAGGAAAAATAAGATACTTACAGCTGCAAGTGTTATTTTCTGGTTTATTTACTTAACATTGTGAGCATAAGCACTTAAAACCTTTTTTTCACAGCGGGAATTTATTATGAATGATTTTTTTTTACTTAATTTTGCTATTTTGCAGCCTGCTGTTGATGTGGAGTGCAGGATGCTGAGGTGCTGTGTGAGTGGAACTGCAAGAAACAAGCACCAGTGCGGATACTCCCTCACTCTTAAAGAGCTTACCTAGAAACCAAGAAGAGCCAGTGGTGGAGGAAAGGGGTTGGGGTGTCATCACTGAGGGGGGTGACAAAATAAAAAAATAAGAGGGGGTTATGTTTTTTAAAAAAATTGAGCTCACAAAACTTTTTAGTTCAGTCAACAAATGTAATGAAACACGGCCGGCACTTACCATGGGGCCTGCAGCATGCCTGAGCCACACGTCTCTCCTGGGAGTGACATGGTGGCTTGGGGGCCTGCAGGCTCCGCGCTGCCTGAAACGGCAGTGTGGGACTTGCATCTGCCCTCCGCCTCTCCCTCAGCCGCCCTACAACCGATGGGGAGGCAGCAGAGAGGCTCCACACAGCGCTCCCTGGCCCCATGGGTGGCTTGCCCTGCCCCCATTGGGCTGCTCGCCCCACCCCTGGCTGTAGGATACACACTCCGCACCCAGCACCCGAGCGGCTGGCTACGTCACTGAGAAGAGCCCTGCTGAATCCTATCTGGAACAGAATCCTGTTCTCACAGTGGCCAGCTAGATGTCTATAGGAAACCCTCAAGCATATACCTTTCGATAGGTATTTACCCACCAGCAGGATCTTGCACCTTTGCTAGTGCTATGTACAAACATTTGAAGTGCACAATATGATTGCATCCTGCCCTATCCCCACCCCAGTTGTGCGGCAACTGAAATGTCTAAGGGTCCTTCCAGCTGGAGCCTGAATACTGCAAACTGGCCGTTCAGACATTGCAAATGGGACGTTGGCAGCAGGTTTTTCTTTGTTTGTTTTTACTTACCTGATTTTCTGTGAAAACTGTGACTCTGAATATAAAAGGTATGAAACACAGCCCAGCATTTTGATGCTGATGTCACGGGGGGGGGGTGTATGCGAGAGAAGTGCCAATCCCACAATAAACACCAGTCTGGAAGCAACCTATAATATACCGGGATGCGGCAAAATAGGGAAACGTACCTTTTAACTCTTCAAAACTGCAGCGGCAGCACATCTCACCTTGCCATACGGATGAGACTGTAACACAATAACATAAGACGATCCCTACTGGATCAGGCCACCTAGTCCGGCATCCTGAGGCTTGTCCACACCTGAGCAATATGTGGCTTTGCACCTGCCTGTCTCATTAATAGAGGGACATCCACATTACGTCCTCCCCATCCCAGTGTTGTCCCAGATCTTTTCGAGCTTTGAAAAGTCAGAAATGGCCACCATATGTAGGGCTTCCCCCCCCCAGGGGGGTACGCAATGGTATGCAGTACTCACCCACACACCCTTTGTTAAAAGTGTGGCACTTATTGTAACGAATTCATGATGATTACCAGCACCTTCCCCCCCCTAAAAAAGAATAAAGCACTGGTAGACCCACATTTAAAGGGTGGAAAGGTCCTAAACAACACTGGGATAGGAAAGTTTTCCTGAGCACTCTCCTCACTTGTGCTGTAACAAAATTATACAGGAGATGTCATGTATACCTGAAGGAGCGTCTCCACCCCCATCGTTCAGCCTAGACACTGAGATCCAGCACCGAGGCTGTCTGGCGGTTCCCTCATTGCGAGAAGTGAGGTTACGGGGAACCAGGCAGAGGGCTTTTCTCATCAGTGGCGCTCACCCTGTAGAACACCCTCCCTTCAGATGTGAAGGAACTAAGCAGCTATCCTATCTTTAAAAGACATCTGAAGGTAGCCCTGTTTAGGGAAGTTTTTAATATTTAATGCTGTATTGTTTTTAGCACTTGATTGGGAGAGCGGCTGGGGAAACTCAGCCAGATGGGCGGGGTATAAATAATAAATTATTATTACTATTATTGTGCTTCCTGGGCTTGCAGCCTCCTACAGAATTTCCCAGGCACATGTGGGTGTTTTTTTTCATGCATTACCTTTGGTAAAAATGACTTAGCATAAATCTGCTCTAGAATCAGGTACCTCTGAATTCTGTTAGCTGCCCGGCGATTGGCTCATTTCAGTAATCAAGACAGCAATACTCCTAACAATATCTTTGTATGATTCTTGCAATCCCATCGCTCAGGATTTCCAGCTGTGCGTGAACTGACGCCTAAGTAAGACAGGCAGATTTGGCTTTAAAGTTCATTCCTGAAGATTGGGAGGGGAGAAGGTTGGGGGCTGGGGGGGGGGAGAGAGCAGTGTCCTCTATCCTCCCCTCCACCCCATAGATGTCATTACATTCTCCTTGGAGAATTAGCCAATGTGGAAATACAGAGGCTACGGTAACACTTGGCCTTCCTTCAGCAATGAACACATACCACAGAGTTCACATTTGCTCAGAAATAATCTGGGCGGGGGGGGGGGAGCAGGGTGGAGGAGGGAGAGATGAAGTGAAGCACAACTGCAGATCATCAGTCTGGCTTAACCTTGTCAAGCAGGGATGAAGCAGGAAGTTCCTTGTGACAATGACTGGCAGGTATACAAATGGATGAAGGAAACATGCTGCAAAGCAGAGAGGGTCTCAGACAGTCAGCTGGAGCACAGGAAGAAGACACAGGCAATAACCAAGATCAGAGGAAACTGACATTGGTGGCAGACATTTCAGCAAAAAGATCTATTCCAGATGCATTTTATTGGGGGTGGGGAACCTTTCCAGCAATGCTGTTTGCTAAGTGATTGCAGTGAAGATTGAAGGATTTCATGGGGGGGGGGGAGTAGTTTCCACTGTTACAAACGTGGAAATAATAAAATAAATTGAAGGGAGCTCAGAAAGAGGAGGGTGGAAGTCGAGGTTTGAAATGTTGGAACTATTGTTAAACTAAATAAAGGAAAATGATAAATAACATTATTATTTTTTTAAAAAGTATACCGTTACAAAAGTCGGGTGCCTGCCCCCTCTCTCTGCCGAGCAGTGGCAAGAACCCACGGAATCACAGGCACCCACACAAGGCCTGTGTCCCTTTGAAGACGCAGTGGAGACTGTTGTGGCTTTAAGAAATATGGTTTATTCACCTATTTACACCTTCAGTCTGAATTGAGGGAGTCAAGATCTTATAACATTTCAAGAGGCAGCCGCTCAAGCAGCCTGCAGCCAGCCTCCTGGAAAGGTGGATCTCAGCTCTTTTTCCTAATTCTTCTTCCCAGAAACCCTTTTCCTGTCACCACAAAGATACACCTCATCACCTTGGTAACATCTCACTCCCCAGTGGCCCATCGCCAACTTTTGTCATGTTAACAGGTTTGCTCTTCGCCCAGCCAGGCTGGTTTGCATAGGTTGGTAGTACAACCTTCTGAACAGATGAAATATTCATCAGTAGAAGGTGGTTGGTTCAATAAATAACAGCTGGTTCGCCTTGTACATATATCTCTTATTTACCCAACCCCTGATAATTCTCAGTGGAATCTCCATTAAAAAAAAAAATCAGAGCCAGGCACACTCAGGCAGCAAATAAGGCTCCAACACCCCCAGAAGACACATGCACTCATCATGCTAAATGTAGCTGGACTTCAATATTCTAGATGGAGGCATTGCTGGCTGGGTGAAACACTGAACAAGAAAGTAAATTCTCTTAATTTAAGTCCCACTTTTTCTGACCTAAATTCAGTCTGGTCATTCTTGGCTCTAAGTTGGTCCGAAGTTGAGGGCGTGGTCCTTGTTGTATGCAAAACTGAGTGGCGGAGCTATGTGACACTCAAAACCAGTCTTGAGGAGGCTGTGGTTTGGACCGGTGGGGCGGGGAGCAGGCATGTTGAATTTAAGATCACCCTCCCCAGGCTTCCCCCCCCCCATAGCACATCCAGATGTGTTTGCTCCGAGGGGCTCTTTAAAATAAGAGTTTTGAGGGCGGGGGAAGGCAAACCGACAGGTGCTCAGGAGCACTGGAGTCAGACAAACATCTGCTGCGGATGTCAGGAACGCACAAAAGCTGCTCTGTGTTGGGTAGTGAAGCATAGGAGCAAAAGAACAGCTGGAGCAAAGGAAGGAAGGAGCCCGAGAAAAACAACAAGGTATCAGATTAAAAGAAGACAAGCGAGAAAAGCTACTTTAGGGGGCTGGTAAACAGTAGATAGATGATAGATAGATAGATAGATAGATAGATAGATAGATAGATAGATAGATGATAGATAGATGATAGATATAGATAGATAGATAGATGATAGATGATAGATATAGATAGATAGAGAGATAGATAGATAGATAGATAGATGATAGATAGATGATAGATAGATAGATAGATAGATGATAGATAGATAGATAGATAGATAGATAGATAGATAGATAGATGATAGATAGATAGATGATAGATAGATAGATAGATAGATA